GACAGACAGACAGACAGACAGACAGACAGACTAAGCGCTTTATAGTAGGTAGGATGGTAGCGTTCTGGGAACTGTCCGTACCATAGGAGACCTCAAAGTGATTATCAATGATAACCTCGAGTCTACAGATCATTTTGATAAAGTTACCAAGTCTGCTTATGCAGTTTTGTACCTCATCTTCCGGAACCTCAGTAGCAAGGATCCAAAAACATCACTTCGACTGTACAAGTCCCTTGTCCTACCACATCTGAAGTAATGTTCCCTCGTATGCAATCCTGCCTTGAAAAAGGACGTATCGAAGTTTGAGAGGGTACAGCACACTTTTACAAAATTGCTTTTTCTCAGATGCTTCCCATCTTTCGCTTACGACCGGCTACCTAACTAAAAAAATGATACAGTTCTGAGACCTTGTAAGTACTGGGTGTTTCGACCCAACAGTGGCAGGTCAAGTGGCTTCAAGGTACATCATGCAAGGATCTTGTCTCAAAACTATGCTCTACTATTCAACAACTTTTTCTTTCGTTCGGTGAATGGCTCAGTCATCTTCCATGTGAGCTTCTAGTAGCATCTAGAGCCAACACTTTCAGAAGAAAATTGAATGAGCTCAATCTGCTAGAAAAGTTGAGATTAGATTACTGGTGACCAAATTTTTAGGAATGTTGATGATGCGTTTGTCGATTTTTCCTTCTTAGTTGCTTGTCGTGTCAATATGCCGGACTGGGGCTGGACGTCATGTTGCTGCTCTCGAGTAGTGGGTTGCAGTTCTACTGTGAAGAACCAGTTTATCATCGTCCTCCTTCGATAACTTTTATTTGTGAACTGCGGTGAACGTTGCTAACAAGACTGTCACAGAAAATTGGTACTATACGGCTTATTATAGAGCAACTTCCACCTTCCCAGGCTTCACGCCTCACTGCACTTTCTTTAGCTATTCTCACATGGTCAGCCATACTATTATGTACTGCCATCTACTTCATTAAGTATGAGGCGAGTATGTTTTGGATTAAGACCTTCAAAAATTTCTTCGCAGGTGCGAGTCAACTAGTATGCTTCAACAATACTTGGATCTGGGTCTTACGCCCTAGGATCGTGTTTAGATCAAAGAGGCACCTACGTTGGCCTGCCCTGGAACAACTTCGGTTGGTTGCGTTGCCCAGACTGACATGCACTTTAATGGCCGTCATTCAGCGTTAAATCAAACAACTATCTGCAGGTAGCCACTGCCTACTTGAGCCCCTGACACACAGAGTTATTGGTCCTGCCTGACTTTCTTGTGTCGCCCTTTTTGTGTACGGCAAGTCTGGGATGCTGGAAGCGCGACTCCTTTTTATCTTCCCTTTTTTACAGCTATTATGCGAGTTCAGCGTTTGCCTCTTTGTTTGTTTTCGTTTTAACATGCTTGTCCAAACTAACACCTTCTGCCCTGTTGTAGCGCACCATTGAGTGCACAAATAAATAAATAAATAAAATAAACAAACATCAGTTTCTTCATAAGATGGCCGCTTGAGCTCCATGTGATCGCTTATCGAAGATCGTGTGATCTCGGGAGCAAGTGCCCTTACCAACGCAGACGCTGCTTTCTGATTTCCAGCTGGACAGTGCCTGTTGCAAGACAGCCAAGGTGTCCTTATACCTGTCTAGTCCGATCAAGTCCCACCGCAGGGTCATTTAAGCATCCCCATTTCAGTGATGTGGAGCTGCCTACCATGATTTTTGCTTATGCGACAGCATTCACTGTCATAGGAAGCGGTCCTTTGTCTTTCGAACTACCGAAGCACCATTGACCGCAGTGGATACTACTGAGCTCCCTATAATCCATTAATGTCGTGTTCATTTGGGCCTTTACAGGCTGATTATGCCACCATCTGCAGCTTGGTTAAATCTCAGGTTTCGGAAGCTCAGCGCTCTCTCGATGCTTCCACAAGACAATGTTTGATTGACTCTGTATACTGCTCGAAACTGGAGATCTTGGTCTTCTTGATGTTCAGCTGGTGTCCATTCTCCGCTAGCTTTCCCTGCCATTCCTGCAGTTTGCCCTGGATTTCTTCTCTGCTCGTCGCTGTCAGTGCGATGTCATCAGAGAAGAGGATGATATTCGGTGGTTCATCCATGTTTTCTTTTTCGATGGTGTCCATTGTAAACAAAAAGAGGACCGGATGAGCTGATAGCGCTCTCCACAACAGTGGCCGAAGCAGGTGGTCAAGAGCTTCCGCGAAATAAGGAAGAAGAGGTAGCCAAGTCAAGCTTTCCACGAGATTTTCCCATGACCTGTCCAGTTATGATGATGACATCCGTTGTAGACTATCGGAGCATGAAGCAGAAAAGCCTCTGTGAGATGGGTACCAGTTTCTTCAGTCCAGAAGCGGCTAACTGCTCGTATTGCTTCATGGTATGCGCAGTCAACCTGATCCCGCAGTTGGAACGCTCTGTCGCGTTCCCTCCTGCTTGGATATGGGAACGAAGATGACGCGTCTGCCATCATTCCTTCAGCAGTTACAGTGTTCAAAATCAGGCCAGGAACCTAATCCCGTGTTCTCCGAGCTCCTTCCATGTCACAATGTCCCCCATCTGAGCCAACCGCCTTCCCGACTTTCAGTCCACACTGCGATGGGACCAGCTGCCGCTTTTATATAGAAGCAGTTCGTCCAACAAAAATCTTCGTACATGAGCCTACAGAAGTACTAAGTGTGTGCATTAATTTACGCCGCCCGCCAGATTCGAAGAGTCGTTGCGCGAACAATGTTAGAGGTTCACCTGTGAAACTTGTCATATTCTGTAAAATAGGGTATTGGCTACCTATTTAAGGGCAGACAGATTAGTTTTCCCCGAAAATCCTTTTGCACTCAAACTGCTTGTTCATGGAACGTGTGAGTCGTTTTCCGGGAGACCCTTCTCCTGCTGTTTGATTTCAAGAAACCTCCATCGAAGCTCACCTCAACTATTTGTTTTCGATACTTATGGAGACAAGCTCCATCTGAGCGAACCACCAGCTCTCATACAGAAGCGGCAGCGTATATGGATCCATGCCAACTAAGGCTTTCACAGCAAAAGCGGAATATCCTTTTCCAAAAAGTGATGCTGTGTATTTGATGGGATAAGAAGGGTATTGTGTGTTATGAGCTACTGAACCTAAGCGAAAGTATCACTGCTGACCGCTACGAACACCATCTTGACAATTTGTATGATACCCTTAGAGAAAAAGCCGTTAGTAGCAAGAAAACATAAGGTGCCTTTTCACTGCGACAACGCCAAGCCACATGCTGCAAAGAATATCCATAAAAAATTGCAGAGTTGGATGGGATCAGCTTTTTCAGCCCGCATACTCCCCGGATCTTGCTTCTTCTGATTACGACTAAGTTCATTTTATGCAAGACAGTTTTGCAGATACATGCTTCCGGAATGCCGAAGAAGTGCGGAAATGGGGGATGACTGGGTTGCCTCAAAAGATGAAGATTTTTGTAGAGTCGGAATGTACCAGAAACAAACAACAACTACCAGAAAGATGTCAAGAAGTTGTACTCACGATGAGCAGTACATTGGTTGAAGTACATTCTGTGTTGATACCGTAATGAATGTGTTCTCGCACGCAAAAAACGGCGGAAATTAATGCACACACCTGATATTATGTCGGCTCATGTGGCTCAATGCCGAGCGTTGTCCAGCCTGAAGATGAAGTTCTTACTTCCTCGACGTTTCAGCTCTTCACACAGAGAGTTCAGTTCCGTGTTCTTTGCCTTTGTTACGAGCCTTGGCGAGCCTCTTACAGGTTCTGTAAGCAGCTCGGTCCTCTTAAGATCTCGTCTTTTGCCAGTGTTCATATGCGCCCTTTTTCTGTTTCACAACTAGTTGAACTTCATCGTCCCAGAATCCTGTGAGTCCACATCGATCCTTCTTTGTACACTGTAGGATGTCAACGACAGCATTGCTCCAAATTGGCTGTATCAGCCCTCGAGCACTTGAAAGGCCAGTTTTTAAGAACCTTCGTTTATGACCTGTCCCTTCCTCACGGTGCGACTTCCACCACGAATTCTCTGCTCCATGGTCACCTTTGTTCTCCTGAAAAGCTCGATGGTAATGTTCGCTGAAGCAGGCCTGTGCTGTGTAGCAAGATCATGACAAGTAGTACTTCGATATCCTTCAGTTTTGAAGAACGACTTTCTTACGAACACATGGTCGATTTCCAATTATCTTCTCCTACTGCTTCAGGTTTTCGTCTAAGTCTTTCTCTTCGCGAGGAGCTTGTTGCAAACTGCTAGGCCGTGGGGTGTACCAGCTTGGTCCAGGGAAGGCGCTCTCCTTCTCCATTCCTGACTCCTATTCCCTTGCCTCTGCAAACCCCTCGCTCACTCCCAATGTGGCGATTAAGGTCACCTGCTAAGGTGAGATAGAAGGAATTCAGAAAGGATTCATTCTTTCTGAGCCTTGATGGGGATGAGTTCCGCTCAAACTCTGAAAAGAGTGAGACTTGCGCTAACTCTGTGTCCATCACCACTCTTTCGTGTCTATCCTCACAGCCGCATTTCGACCGCTGATCCTGTTGATAGCGGAGACACAACCTTTAATGGACTTCGTTACTCTCACGGCTCATTGACGTCTTTTCCGTTGCAGCGGAGGTTGACACCATCACCGATCTCTCTGGCCTTTGCTCCTTTCAGGTGTGTGATAATTCTGCGCGTCACCAGATCAACAATTTCCAAGGAATTCCCAATAAGCGACTCAAAGTTCAGAGTCCCGATTCTAATTGAATTCTTCGGCCGTGGTCATCCAGTCCTCGGTAGTCCTCGCGTAGTGTCCACAGAACTCGCGTGGACCACCTCAGTGTGACTTTCTAGCGTTATAACATTGTATCTTCTCTTATACCATTAAATTCAAATAAATGGCAAGCGCTCAGCGAAATTTCTAGAAGCGTTACCGGTGGCTATGTTCACTCTACATCTTTGGGCTTCTAGACATTCCCCCCTTACCAGACGTTTCAACGGAGAAAAAATTTACTGGAACGTCAACGTGATCCGAAAGATCATGGCTGACCTCGTTCAGTCCGCATCGAGGACTTGTCGAAAAGGGTAAAGGCTTGGCCGCTTTTTCTCTGCAAAAGGCCATCAGGCACATCTTACAAGATAATGATACTAGTTCACAGTGCCACTCAAGGTTAGATGTAATTCGCCGTTATTGTTCTAAAGTTTGATCACACATCTACCGTACAGAATCGCTACACGACTTAAGAGAACAAACTTAGGGATTAGATTTCCCTGTGCTATACCACTGTGTAGCACACGTATGCGAACAGACTAAGCACAACATCGTGCAGCGATGACGCGGTTGGTAAATCAATGGACTCGTGAGGAAGACGTGAAGATTTGCTTGCTAGCATGTACTCACCTTGCTTTTTCATAGAATGTGCTCCAAACGTTTGTGAAATGTTTTTACTCTTCACGTCGACTATTCGCGACCCTCCCCCACATTTGAGGAAAACTGGAGTAACGTAATAGGATGTTTCTTGCTTCCACCAAAGGAATCTGCACCCCTAAGCCAAACAGTCAAGATGGGTAACGAAATTTCTGGCGGCCCTTTACACTTTTGTGGGCGGCTTAATGAGAAATAGAACGGAGTTATTTTTATAAGAGTCACTGTCTTCATTCTTCGAGAAAGAAATTTCTGATACATGCCTACTGAACTACTGAAGTTTTTATCAAGAAAAAAGTATTGAGCAATAGATATGACACATGCAATGATCCAGTCTTGAATCCACCCATGGTAGCTATAATTTGTCCTCCATGGACTCTTCATGTTCATTTTCAGCGCCATCTGTTGGGAATCGCTGTTGCGCAATGAGATTTCCATGCTCATTCCTGAGATCACTTCTTCTTTCGACTTCTGGGCCTATTTTCAGAACATGGCAGGATGACCCACTTGTTCTCTAGCTAATTGTTACGGGAAAGAATGAAATTAATCGGAAATAGACTAACATGAAATCTCACGTTCTTTCTGTAATTCCTTCGACATCTTTAGGTGATATTCGGTCGTTATGGAACGAAAGCACGGAAGAGAGCATCTTCGTTGCTATCATTAGGTTATCAAAGCTCTCTATGCACTCTTCTTCCTGGTAGTCGTTAACAGTGTTGTCGTACATAGCATCAGTTGTATCGATTAACCCTGTTTATTGCCTTTCGTGCGTTGCCATTTGGCATAACTTTCTGCAGCAGGTTCTGGAAATTGCTTAAAATATTGCCTGTTTTGTGTGGAGCTCCCTCCTCAGTCCCTTTTCCATTGGACTTGATCAGAATCTTCATTCGACAAGGAATGGGAATCAAGAGTTCTTTTTGGATGGCACTAGAGAATTGACCAAATGTGCGGGAGGGCTATAGATATCCAGGGGAGCTGAGAAGCGTCTTGCAAGCGTGTTTTAACTTGTCCTATAAAAAAGCAAGGTCAGCACATGCATCAGCCGCACGGTGAAATGCCTAATCGGTTCGTTTATTTGTGCGACTGATTATAAAACACAGGGAAAGACGGTTCTCTACAGGGTAGGCCAAAATTATGATTACACAGATATCACATCCCCGAAAACGAATAGAAAGCTGAAAAAGCAAACCAATTTCATAGAAGTGTCTATCACTAATCTCTCATCAAAACTGTACATTGAAACTGGGATCTGCTGCTTTTTGCTTTAAATCAACCCCAGAGACGACGATGGACGTCATTGACGGTGGCTCGCAGCTAAGGTCATCGAGTTGATCCTAGCTTTTTGCAAGGCATTTTCGAGATTACTTCACTTCTTGTTTGGGCAAACGGTTGCTTTCATCTCAAAGGCTGACCACACTGAGCCATCCATGGGATTTAGGTCAGGGCTCCAGAGCAGTCACTGATCGAAAGTTTTGAAGTCAGGGAACCCCTTTTACGGAATTTCTAGACAATTCCTGATCTGCAGTCAGGAGCATCATCTTGACAATATGTCCGCTTGAATCGCCAAAGTGTCCTATTGCGCATGAAGAGATCGAACAGGTCTCCAAATAAACTTTCACTCCTTATTTTACAAAAATGGTCGGTGTTATTGCCTGGGCGGTGACGCTCGCAAAGGATATCGCAGAAAGTCAGTGAGCCTAGCGCTGCATCGCTTCCATTTATTTCTGCTCTATACAAAACTGGTAGCCCTGCCTACTGGGCACCTTTTTCGCCGGTGGACAGGTATTGCGTACGACAAATATTTGTATGCGGCGGGGCAGCTTCGGTGAGCCAACATTTCTCTTCTTTTTAGTCTGCTCACTGAGGAGATCACTTTCTAATCATATAGAGGCCTTGTCGTGCAGATGATGCTTCACGATTTCGCGCAGAAAAGTTCATGAGATATCCATTCATTTAGTCATTTTGGGCTCAATGAACTTCGCTACTACGCAGACCTTCGCTCTGCTTCCTTAAAACTCCCACTAAATGTAACCGCAGGTCTCTTAGGTTTACCACTCCTATCTGCAATTGTTCCCAACT